AATTTGGGGTCTTGGAAATGGTTGTTGTGAACCAGCTTCTCTATGTCAGCACTTGCTGACAAAGAGTTCACGTGAACTTTTCTTGGTTAACTATGGACGGTTTGTATTACTTATTGGAAAAAGTTTATATATAGCCGAGGCTCTAAACAATTAAATTAGAGCCGACCTCAAAATTTTAACTAGAAATGATTGTTTTGATGCCTAAATATCCTCAAATTGATCATCTCAACATCAAGATGCATGGACATGAGAAAAAAATGGATTTCAAGTTTTGGAAATAGTGCATCTTTGTAACACGTTTTGGACCATCAATTTTCAATATTTTCAAATTTTCATTGATCTGCTTGATCTACACTATGAAGCTTTAAATTGTATAATTAAAGATGAAAACATATTTTAAGGCTATCTCAAAGATTTCCAATATAGAAACCACATTTCTCGACACAATTTGATGGTGGGCTCTAATTTGATTGTTTAGTGCCTCGGCTCTATACAAACCACACCGTTACTTATTGCCATATCTACAACAATACCACGAGTAGCGTGGTAACGAGCGCAAAAAATATATATCTTGATGCATAGTGTCATGATACAGCATGGGCATGCAGGTTATCACCATCCCTTCAGTTCGTTGAACGGCAAAAGAGGAATGTTACAATATAAAATTCAATTTGTGAGAGATTAGTGGGATCCACTGCCCAATCCGCTAACGGAACGGTGATAAACCTTGAGGCCACTGTTATTAATATATGATTTCATCTAAGGTTTTCTCCACATTCAACTGGAGATACTTTCGTTGCCTATAGGGCCTAGGTTTTATGAAGATCCTGAAAGCACTTTCGGCAATAGGAATCTCCACGTGGCTCTAAAATCAATTTTTAACACCAATAATAAGATTTGAAGCTAAAAAAATGATACATATCACAAGATTTATGAAAGATAAAATAGACGGTCTAGATAATTTATTACAATACACACTGCATTTAAAGCTCGAAATCCTTATTTTTTTGGGGAAAATTACTAAAAAAAAACCCCAAAATGAGCTTTTTAGACCTTCTACCGCCACCCTAATCTTTCTTTACTCCTTTTTAAAAAAAACCAATTTTCCGTACTAAAACCCCCCCAACTAAAAAAAGTTTATTTTTTTTGCCAAAAATACCCATTTCCATACCTTGAACGTGCGAGCAACTCCTGCGGACGGATCCCAATTTCCATTAACACCGGACCGCAGTTATTATTTGCCGGAGTGCTTATGAGAAAACAATATGCCGGAACGAATATCTAAAACGCCGGATTGAAGTGCCTGTGTATTCAGGAAACATATCACCGGAGTGCTTCTTAGTTTTGCCAGTACGCGCTTCTTAGTTTTGCCGGTGCGTGTTTTTTAGATTTCGGACTGCCTATTAACATTGAATCAATCTCCAAAACGGATTCAAGAAACGCCGGAGTGATTTTAAATTTTGCTGGAGTGCTTTTTACAAGTGCCGGACTGGTTTTTTACAGTGAACTAATCTCCAGAGTGCTTTCATAAAATGCTAGGGTGAGTTTTAGTTTTGCCGGAGCACGTTTCATAAATGCCGGACTGTGATCTTCGGAGTGCGTTCAAAAAATGCCGGATCCCCCGAAAATGCTCCAAGTTTTTAGTTTGTTCCTTCATTCTTTGTTTGCTATAAATACTAGTTGTCTTTTACCAAATAAACTTCTCTCTGTCTAGAAAACATCTATGTTGTGTAAAATCTCTCTCTCTTTCTAGAATACCTCGAAATCTCTATCTTTCTCTCTCTCTAGAGTACCTCTATTATGCGAAATCTCCATCTCTCTCTTTCTCTCTCTCTAGAATACCTCTATATTGTGCAAAATCTCCCTCTATCTCTCACAAACACACAGTCACACTCTCTCTCCTCTCCTCTCTCTCTCTAGAATACTTCTATATTGGGTTGGAATTTCTCTATTAGAATGTGAAATAAATCTAACAACGTGCAATAGATGTCATACAAGTTAACTAGAATCTTATGAAAAATAATAAAGGGAAAATTGCATAAAACCGTCGCAACTTACTTTCTATTCAATTTGCCCTAGCACTACTCCCTAATTTTTCTACCAACTTCTCCAAAAACCATATTTTCTAGCCAATACCCCAATGCAGAAAGTTCACTTTTTTTTACAAAAATACCCTTCTTGTATTTAACAAATCATTTTTGAATCCCAATAAAAGAAACGCCATATGGCACTTGTACAACGCCGAACTGTTCATTTCAAAACGCCAGACCGCCACTTTAAAACACCGGACTGCCCCTTTAAAATGCCTTACCGCCACTTCAAATGACCGACTGCCCCTTCAAACCAACCACTGTTTCAAAAAGTTGGACTGCACATTTCTCCAATAGCATAAACTTAGGACAGCCATAATCAAACCCCAGACCGCCTATTCTAGCAAAATAATCGCCGGACTATCTTTTCCAAACACTGGACCGCCCTTTCTATTGAAAATGATTGGTTAAGGGAAAGGTATTTTCGTCAAAAAAAAAATGAACTTTTTGTAGGTTGGGGATAAATTGATTAGAAAGTCCATTTTGGGGTTTTATGTAATTTTTCCAATAATAAATGTATTATTTATATTTATTATATAAATAGAATATGTTTAGTTTTTATTGAAAATAATAGAAAGCTATATAAAGGAAAAAAGTTCATATTTTTTAAATAATGAATAGAATTCTAGAAATATAAATTAAACCTTTTTTTCCTTTTTGGGTGAATAAAAGGAGAATACAATAAAAAAAGCAATAAAAATGCGTATACTTAATCATGGTAAGTGGCAGGTACCAGGTCGAGCCTATAAGCGGCAGGTACTAGGTCGAGCCTACCCTAGCCTGAGCCTATTCCAGGCCCAATTGAGCCAAGCCAATGCGGTTAGGTCGAGTCCGCCCATTGCCAACTATAGTAATATACCATGCTTCCACAAGAGCATATTATGTAGGAAATTTCTTGATTAGAAATTATATATCTAGATAATAATAAGCAGATGATTTTAGAAAAGAACCTTGGATTTTAACTCTTGAATTCTTAGGTCTTACCCTCTAAAACTTAGATGATTAGTATTATTTTTGGGACATTCTACTTTTTAAACAGTTTGAAAAACTTGATTTTTGGGGTTAAGCGATATGTTGAGTGGTTCCATCACTAAAATTTAAGTTCCTAAAAATAATCCTAGGTTGGGTTTTCCCAAGTGAGTAAATGGACAGTATGCTCCTATGGGAGCGTAAAACACTTTCCCAAAATGGAATAAATGCATGTAGTAAGCTAAGTAAACGCCAGCCAAAGAAAAATGTCAGTTTGGAACATTTTAAAAATTTGTTGGAAAGGTTGTTTTGGTGTTAAAAAACCTCAATTTGTTCATTTCAACCTCGATAATTAAAGATCTGGAAATAAAAAGAGCTTTAAGTCCTAATAATAATAATAATAATATATATTGTAACACATTATCTGGATCGTTCATTTTTAAGTATTCTTTTGCTTAGATTTTGTTATTTTTAGAGCTTTGAATTTCATAATTAAAAAAGTGAAAGAGATCTTCGAGCATTCTTAACATTTCTCCATGCCAAAACTCTCTTTTTCAACGAGTTTTTATTGACAACTTTATCTACCTTGAGCTAAACGCATCAAATATCCAAAACATACATATATTTTTGTATAGGAAAATTATACAATGAGACTTTTTACCTTTAATACAAGGTAGTCACAATTAATCTTGACCAGTTGATGTGAAATTGGATAGCTGCATTTATTCTATTGATCAAGTTCAAAATTCAAAAGAAGTTTTCTCAAACTTAGTGTCACATCAAAGTTATCAGATTTCATATCGGAGGGTTCAAAGTATGGAAAAAGTTTATATAAGATTGCAACCTTAAAATGTAAAATTACAGATGCACCTCAAAAATTCATGGGAAAATTTTGTTTTAATGTTGAAAAGCCCTCTAATTGATCATCTTGACATCGAAATGTATGAACATGAAAAGAAAACTATGTGGAGTCCAAAAAATAGTGCATCTTGCAATACATTATATAGATGGTCTATTTTTCAAGATTTTCTACTTGATTTTAACCATTTTCTGGAGTTTAAATTTTATAATTAGATATAAAAATAGATTTTCAGATAATCTTAAGAATTTTTTACACCCAAATTACATGTTATGATAAAATTTGGAGGAGCACCTTAATTAGATTGTTTAAGGTTGCAACCTTATAGAAAGCACACCCAATAAGTAATTGTGACCTCTATCTTCTAAAGGTAAATGGTCTCATTGTATACAATCCTTTCTACAATTTTTAATTGTATTTCCAGTAAGTAAATTATTATTTATCAAGTAAATAACTTCTTCATATGAAAAAGGCTGAATTAACCTCAAGGTAAGAGCAAAGGCCAACATGACTCACGAGTTTGGGTTAGGTTATTCCCCTTGTTTAATCTTATGAAGATGTGCCACTGCTTAAAAAGCCATATGCGGAAGAAAATTTTGGTAGAAGATATTTAAGTAGATATATATATACACAATGTATTATGTGATCATGGCGTGATGACCACATCATAACATACAAAATCCGGATCCCATCAAACCAGGTGAAGCAAAGCAACAAAGTCAGTTTTTGATGGTTGACAGTTTGAATCTAAAATTTGGAAGGTTCTTTTTCAATCTTGGGTGTCATTTTGCTTGCTTTTAGGAAAATAGAGTTTTTTTTTTTTCTTTTCGATGTTGGTCACTAGATTCTAGTGATTACAATCCAAATTTTGGGATTTAAAAATATTTCTAGCTTGATTTTTGCCAGTGGGAGCTAATAGACAATATGCTCCTGCAGGGCGCATGATATATTTTTGCATAAATGAATATCATGTGGACCATAGATGGTCGCTCCTTCATAGTTTATTTAAAAATACAACACATAATAGAAAAGAGAATACAAATTGAAAAAAATAAAAAATAAAAAAAAAATACACACATTCGGAAAGAAAACATACTTGATTATGTCCTTGTTGAAACAGTCTCACCGTTTGCCAAAACATCATATGACCACATAATCCTTCATCAAAATGAATAGCTTTATGTACTCAATAAATTAACAGGTAAATTACTATGTGCTCAATCTTTGGTAACATAATGATTCGAATGAGCACTTATTCATAACCCTTCCATTGCAAACTCTTATAGCTTTTGTACACACTACTTTAGAGCTTGCAGTAGTCCATTACGCCATAGGGGCTAAAGAGCTCATCATACCATCCCTTCTTTCTTTTAGGATTGTAGCCCATGTCCTTACATAGCTGGTCATTATACCATATATGGAGGACTCCGATACACGACCGCCAATAATATTTTCCGGCATACGATTTCATGTAGGCTTCCCACTTCTTCAGATCATCCTCCATCTCCTTTATTGAGGGTAAGCGAAAGCCACCGTCGAGAAAATGGCAGAGCCATTGGCTCCTCATCTCTGATGTGAACAAGTTTGATAGGCTCTCTGAGTATCCAATCACCGCCAATTGGGGTATCCGTGGATGGATGATTTCCCTGAGATGAGCTCCTTCGGTTTTAGTTTTAAGAATTACATTTCTTAAATTTATTGGAAATGGAAATGTTGATGGAAAAGGGAAACTCTTCAGAATGGGATTTCATATGTTGAAATAAAGTGGTTAGAAAAGAACAATTTTAAATGCAGACTATAATTTGAATGGAATTCATGATTGAAATAGTAATAGATCAAATCATACAATGGACAAATCAAAATAGCCAAAAGATATTATACTCGAGCAAAAATATACTATCCGTTTACTCCCTTCGGTAAAACCTAACCTAGAATTAGTTTTGGGACCCCAAATTTTCAAGATGTAACATCGACCCATATATTAAATATCAAGAGATTTAAGGAGACCATCTAATTTTTAAAGGGTTATGTTAGGGTACCCATACATATAAATATTTTTTTTAGTGTACGAACACTCATTGCCCCTTATTTAATGCCTCACCCATTTGTTTTGATTTAATTTCAAAAAGCCCATCAAACGACACTAGGCATGAGTTAGAATGGTTGAAAACTCTGGTGTGTTTTGATAAATGGGTGAACAAAGTTGATATCTCAAGGGTTTCTGAAATCTGAATAAATCACTCTTTTTTTTTTTCGTGGTAAGCAAATACTTGTCAATGTCAAACCTGTAGAGTGGAAGAGTGTTTGTTTCCGATCGCATAATGTATTTCTGAAAGGTGGGGGATTGGAAAATGCCTTTGAGCTTCTGATCGCCATCATAGCCCGTGGCCAAGATCACCAAATCCATATCCAACGGCTCAGATTTATCATTGAGAATGAGGCCCTCCTTGCAAAAGCCCCACTTTGGGGCCTGTTTTAGTAAAATGCTACCTTCTTCTACCTTGTCATAGAAATCAGGAGGCAATGTACTGAGTTGGCATGATGATATCTGCAAAAGAAAGCTATGGTTTGGTACCATTCCATACTTCTTCAATGGCAGCTTCCATCTTAAATAGCTCTCCGCAAACTTGGATATCCCCCATCTCTGCAATAAAATACAGATTGTCCAGTCTCAGGCCCAAAGTTGCTAACTTTTAGAATGAAAGTCATTAATCTTTAGAACGATTTTGTCCTCCTTAAAGTGAGATTTGTTTAAACGACATAACGTTTGAACATTGAATTCCAGCAATCCTTAAAAACAGAGAAAAAATAAAACACAAAGAAATGAACAAACAATAAACCCAAGTTTGAATAAAAGGTAGAATTCTACATTCAATGGGAAGAAATGGAAGGCAGAATGAAAATATAGAAAAGCACCACAGTTATAGAAATAAATATCAGCATTTGATAAGTAAAAGTTTTTCTTTTTATGAAGAAACTATTTGCTTTGGATTTAAAATTTACCACTGGAGAAAGAAGAGTGGCTAGAAGAGAAAGGAGAAACCCTTCCTGAGGCTTGTGCACTAATAACTCTGAGAAACGCGTGCAATAAAGATAAGCCAAGTGCACACCCCATGGCAAGTAATGAGGAACATTCCAATGAGGCTCCCTCAATATCACATTACATGGAATTTGCTTTCCTGAAGAAAAAAGAAAAAAAAGAATCAACAAATAATTGAAGCCTTCATGCATGTCTTCCTTATCTAAAATGTAGTCTTAGTTACGGAACTAAAAACTTGAAAAATACTCGGGGTGGCAACGGGTCAGGTCTGGCTAGACCCGGGCCCGGACCCAAACTCGAATAGTATTTGGGTCCAAAATTTAGACATTCACCTAAGTAAATTCAATAGAAAAAATTTATTGAAATACAGTTAACCTACAATTGTCTTAGTTAATGACAACTTAATTAGGCACCTACAAGATGAGGCACCGTGGTTTATGATATTTACAGAACTTAGATTTGACACCAATAAGCGATAAGATGACAGAAGATAGACTTAAGTGAGCTGGCCATGTACAGTACAGATCCAATACGACACTTGTTAGGAGGTGCGAGTTAGTTCATGTGGAAGGCTCAAAACACGCAAACGTGTAGCCGACCCCAAATAATCCGGAAAAACTAACCTACAATTATTTAACATTTTAGTAATTTTCAACTATTCCAAACGTTCAACTCTGTGTATTTTGATCGTATTTTTAAGATTAAAATAAAAAACACATACAAAATATTAAATAGTTCGCCTCATAAGTGTATTTTGAGAAGTTTCTCAAATCGATATTCACCGTGCTTTATTGAGAATAGACTGCACTTGTCTCAATGATATACTCACCATTTACACGGGCACATTCAGCAGCTATGTCTAGGGCTGACTTCTGGAATCCGACAACGGCGACTCGCTTCCCCCGAACCGCATAGGCTGCTTCTGAGCTACTCAACTCAGAGTAATCCTTGGCATGCATAACTTCTCCCTTGAAAACTTGGGGACCATTGTTCTGAGGGAGCAGGGGCAACTTGGGAACATCTCCGAACCGTCCGATGCATAGGACCACAAACTCGACTTGATGCACCTGCTTTGCAAATATCATGCTCCAATCATGACATAGAAAAGTACATTGTGCTACAACATGAGTTTTGAAGTAGTTTATTAATCATATGTAAATAATCAATACTAAATGGCGAGTTATCGTATATCAAGGCATTAAAAATCACTAATCCATTTCGGAACTGCTCGTATAAGCTCGAAACTAGCAGGAGATCTATCCAAGTTCCCGTGAAATCGCCCTCCTTATGAAAATAGCAGCTCTACAATCTTATTCGCCTAGGTACTCTCCCATTATTTCACCAAATTTATTCAATTTTGTTACAAAGTTTTCGTAGGTCTTCAATGGCCATATATTTTTATTGAAATAAATGAATCGCATTGATTTAGTGCAGAAAACTAAGATTTGAGGCTTTGAAGGTTTTGAGTTCTAAACGATTATACAGATAATAATAATTGTTTGATATCCGGATTTTGAGATTCTGAAATCCTTACTTGATTTAAAGAATCAGTTGCAATGTTCTAATTGTTTGGATCTAAAATGGGTTTTATTTTTTAACTTTTGATTTATGATTTTTTATTTAAATAAGGTGTTTGTTTAAATTTCAAAAACAAATCTGGATTGAGTTCAATCATTCAATCTATTTATTTTAAAGTTTATTCAAATAAATCAGATTCAAGCTGTTGTATGAACAGCATTTAAAAAAAATATATTAAATGATTTAAAAATGTCAGTGTTTTGAATCTTTTGACTGATCTCATAGAGAATTTTCTCTTTCTAAAACTCTTGATCTTAGGGGTTTTCAATTGTTTAAACCCACTTTTTTTATATTGAGTTGTTTAAAACCCTAAAATCAGAAAATTTGGTTTCATGAAACCCCCCCTTAAATCATTTAAATGATTCAAAAAAATTTGAAACTCATTTTTCTGTTTTTTGAATTGTTTCAACCAATGGTTTAAAAAACAGATCAGTGACCCGGATCGGGCTTCCAAAAAACCAATCCGGATCGACGAATCGGCGATCCGGATCAGGAATCGGGTGAATCGGTCATAATAAAGCTTAAAAAAAATCCGAAAAAATTATTAAAATTCATTATAAATATTGTTTTTTAGGAATTCAATAAGAAATGAGGGTACTCCATTAAGAATTTTCATGTTTTTGAATGAATATGCGAATATTGATATGTTCTTTCCCTGCATGAACCGCCATTCAACATTTAATTTACATCACACAAAAGGATAAATATATAATTATCATGGAATAAGTATATCAACATACATGGATTACAATAAAGCATAAAATTAGTAACATATGATCTAAAAATAAAATGATAGACGACGTTATTGTTCTTCATGGTCACGCTGGTGCCATTGATTGAATTCGTTTAACAATTCATTGATTCGATCTAAAAACGAATCATCGATATTAGCAGGCATCTGACTTTTCCCAAATCCCTGAGTGTTAGTGTTTTGTTGTGTTTCCAATCTAAAATCCCCGAAGATTGTCCATCCTTCATGCTCACCTGCACTGTCGTGCTCATCCCTACACTGTTGTTGTTGGGACTCGATATGTGAATAATATGGCTGGGATAGGGTGGCCTCAGAATCATCATCTCTCTCATTTTCTCTTTGAATAATATGGAATTAAAAAAAAAAAAAACAAATTTTCAAAAAAATCGATCATGGATTAAAAAAAAAAATCACAAATTTTCAAAAAATTCTATCATGGATTACAAAAAAAATTCGATCATGGATTACAAAGAAAAACAAAACAAA